AGTGTTTCTTATGTTCTCATGTTCCCCCATTCCCCAGTTGTATGGCCCCTACGGGTGTAACTTCTTACCCATATCATGGCATCACCATCATGGTCAGACATCTATGATGCTACAATTGACTAAAATTGATTTTTATATGTTTAAAAGTTTGACTGTCCCGCATATTAATACAGAAAAAATAATTCGATATCAACCCTTTAAATATAATATTAATGGGAAGCGTTAAATCCTAAAGGGTAATTCCAACTGCTAGGTTCAAGAGCCCTTCACCGGCGTCAGGGTGCCCTGGAAGACATTAGTCCCTGATATTTCTTCAAGCTGCCTCTCTTCCAACGTTATTATATACGTGGGAAAACTCTGCACAAAAATTTGTGCTATTACCAAAATACCTGTCCATTAATCACTGGAAGCGCGCAGTGGTTAATGGCCGGTTCATTTTTTTTAAATCAGGGGAAGCTCAAAGCCCGTAGGGGTCATAGCTCTTGGGAAATGAGAGGCAACCAGTTCCTATGCAAGAAACGGATGATAAATCCCGCTCAAGAGGAATTGGGTTTGAAGCCAATTGACTACACGAGGGTCATTAAGGGTGTACACGTCCATATTTTAATCCCTTAACTAAAGTTTTACCAACACTCAGTATATCTAGACGCTTCTGGCAGGCATTGTGCTGTTTGCGCATAATGCGTCTCCGTTCCCAATTATATTGCCACTTAGGCACCAAATCTTTCGTAACCTGAGCACACAATGTACACTTTTGCGCCAAAATTATTTCCGCACATCGCGCCATTATTTCGGCGCCAAATATTTATTCGTACAGAGCGCGTTTTGCACACATGTTGAAGCCAACTTTTACCCTGCGCAGTGCGCACTTTGTTGCACTTATTGACGTGAAATCTTTGCACTGTTATAACTATAGTGGCCCAAAAATTCGCTTTCCACCAAGTGCGCATTACACATTTAAAATGGAGTAGTGCACAGTAGTCTGGAGTTCTAGCCTTGGATCAAGAGCCTCTCACTGTTACTATGGAAGACACTAGCTTCAGAAAATATAAAATGAACCATCATTTATCACACATGAAAATCTAATCACAAATGATAATTGACTAGGATCTCCTAGTTTTCATTGGCTGAAATTTTTGAGCCAGAAAACTGAGCTGAAGTGTGGTTGGCTGTGGCCAGAGCGGTGCAATGGCCAGGGCAGGACTCCTGATCCAAGGAATTGGAGCTGCCCTCCCCTTCCTCGAATCATATCAAATTACCTCTAAGTCCCCAGCCGCTGTATAATCCCTAGGGGTTTAGCGCTTCCCCATGAATGGTATTAATACAGTTTTGCCTAATTTTGAATTTTGTTTATCTGAGAGGGCGACCTTCCCTTTGATATCCTGGTATATACATTATTTTCCCAAATCCTGACCATATTAGAGGACTCTGCATATATACCTACACTTATATACGTACATAAATACGAGATATTATGTATATGAAAATATCTGGCTATTATTCAAGAATAACATATGCGCAGCCTAATAAAAGTCAACCTAGGAATTGTTATTTTTCTGCTGTGTGAGAGTGGAGATGAATTTCAAGCTTTTATGGCAATTGACACCATTAATGAAGCTTCAACGGCCTATATTAATCTGTGACACACTATTTTTCCTCCATTTTTCATTTATACTTCCGGCACAAAACAGTTAACACATTTATACGTTGACTGAATACGTGAAATTAATATTATTATTATTATTATTATTATTATTATTATTATATTATGGGAAGCGCTAAACCCGTGGTGATAATACAGCGCCTGTGTGGGGGGGGATGGATGGTATTCAGACTCAATTCAGAGAAATGGATCACAGATGTAATTCCCTAGATCAAGAGCCCCTCACCAGCATCAAGGTAAATATGTAAAAGAATTTGTGACTATAAGAATATGTGGTGACTATGTAAAAGAATGTGGTGAATATGGGTATGTTAAAGAATGTGGTAAATATGTAAAAGAATATGACGAATATGGGTGAATATGTAAAATAAACGTAAATTTGTCTGTCCTTTACCGAGGCCTTTTATTAATCATCATTCTTGTTTTTTGGTCAAGAACCAGCTACAAAAAATATCATTAGCATTCAGGTCAATAATAATAAATGTTCTGTTGTTTATGGCCTTGGTGGGAAAAAATAAGTAAATTAAATGCTCGCCTAAGCGATATATCAGTTTTTCACAATTTATAGAAAATTGGGACAATGGAAACTAGACAGCCCAAATTCAGTTTTAAATAATTGTGTATAAAATTCACCAGTGTAAGGGTTTGAACGTGATCATGAAAGACGTTCTCTAGTTTATGCATGGGAAAATAATTTAAAATCAAATGAAAAATTGTTCAGATCAAAGTGAAATACCATAGTTAATGATAATAAAACCCACCATTGATGAAAGTTTGAAGCCTATTAGAAAAGGCATTCCCCGGTTACTGCTCGTAATCTAACAGCAAGTTTTTCTTAATTTTCGTTTAGACAATGTTTTACTCTACACGACAAACTTTGTACTTCCTGAGCACTTCACATCTCTTGTACCAACTCCACCTCTGTCATACTCTCCACCCTCGCCTTACCCTGCAGCTCTGTATGACCCTTGTGGGTTTAGCGTTTAATTATGATAATTAACTCTACACGAGCAAATTTGTTAAGCGATGTCTCTTAAAGCAAGTTAAACGTGGCGTGTAAACACCGTAGAGTTAAGTATAACATGCCCATATTCTCACGATGAATTTACTGCAATAGTTATTCGGGTTTAAATCTTTTTACATTACTTGGGTTGGTAGCAGAGCATATTGGTTTGTTATTGTGGTAGTGTTGTTGAAGGAAGCAAATGTCATCTGGATCTTCAGATACATTTACGCTTGTAATAATAGCAGAAAGGGTGTAGTTCACTAGGCTTCTCAAAATCTTTGTGCTATTTAAAAGGTGGGTTCGTTCATTGAGTTTAAAACCTATCGACTACACGATGGTCGTTGAGGCTGCCTGTAACCAGTTCACCACCAGTTAAGAATACTTCTATCTGTCACATAAGGTTTAAAGTAAATTCTCAGTGTATATACACTGAGACGGGTGACCAAAACATTCATCACTATCTACCCATAGATCACAGGTCGACTATAAAAATAAAATTATACCCGTATTGCATTTTGTGTATCAATTTTATTTGATCAAACTACATATGCCAGAGTGCATACATGGTACAACTTAATGTTTATATAGAGTAATATACATTTTTTGAGTAATATATTTTACACTACAACAAAAACTCGACTTCCACTAAAACTAAATTAAAAATAGAAAATTCTCAATGTATGTAAGGTAACTGAAGTTCCTTCATATTATGGTCACTATAGTATTTGTGTGACGAAATATATCCTATACTGAAACCTTATGTGATGAACGGTTAATTGGGTTGAAAGCCTATCGCCTACACGAGGGTCATTAAGGCAGCATCTCGCCTGTGCACCACCAGTTAAGAATATTTAAATCCCTGAGAGACCTACACGTCTCAATGTGTAAATTCCTATTACCTCAACATCGTCTACGTTTTATGTAATATACGAGATTCTAGGTGGTTATAGCACTCACAGTATATATGAAATTTCTTCCACAGTTAAACAGTTTATATAATATTACCTTCTCTATTTACATTTTCCAAATTCAGGTTTGCATCGTCACATTGTGAATTATACTTCCATTTGTCAGGTGTTATATACTGCTGATTATACTTCCATCTCTCAGGTATTATATATTGCTGATTATACTTCCATCTCTCAGGTGTTATATACTGTTGATTATACTTCCATCTCTCAGGTGTTATATACTGCTGATTATACTTCCATCTCTCAGGTGTTATATACTGTTGATTATACTTCCATCTCTCAGGTATTATATACTGCTGATTATACTTCCATCTCTCAGGTGTTATATACTGTTGATTATACTTCCATCACTCAGGTGTTATATACTGCAGATTATACTTCCATCACTCAGGTGTTATATACTGCTGATTATACTTCCATCACTCAGGTGTTATATACTGCTGATTATACTTCCATCTCTCAGGTGTTATATACTGCTGATTATACTTCCATCTCTCAGGTGTTATATACTGCTGATTATACTTCCATCTCTCAGGTGTTATATACTGCTTATTATACTTCCATCTCTCAGGTGTTATATACTGCTGATTATACTTCCATCTCTCAGGTGTTATATACTGCTGATTATACTTCCATCTCTCAGGTGTTATATACTGTTGATTATACTTCCATCACTCAGGTGTTATATACTGGTGATTATACTTCCATCACTCAGGTGTTATATACTGCTGATTATACTTCCATCACTCAGGTGTTATATACTGCTGATTATACTTCCATCTCTCAGGTGTTATATACTGCTGATTATACTTCCGTCTCTCAGGTGTTATATACTGCTGATTATACTTCCATCACTCAGGTGTTATATACTGCTGATTATACTTTCATCTCTCAGGTGTTATATACTGCTGATTATACTTCCGTCTCTCAGGTGTTTTATACTGCTGATTATACTTCCATCACTCAGGTGCTATATACTGCTGATTATACTTCCATCTCTCAGGTATTATATACTGCTGATTATACTTCCATCTCTCAGGTGTTATATACTGCTGATTATACTTCCATCTCTCAGGTATTATATACTGCTGATTATACTTCCATCTCTCAGGTATTATATACTGCTGATTATACTTCCATCTCTCAGGTGTTATATACTGCTGATTATACTTCCATCTCTCAGGTATTATATACTGCTGATTATACTTCCATCTCTCAGGTGTTATATACTGCTGATTATACTTCCATCTCTCAGGTGTTATATACTGCTGATTATACTTCCATCACTCAGGTGTTATATACTGCTGATTATACTTCCATCTCTCAGGTATTATATACTGCTGATTATACTTCCATCTCTCAGGTATTATATACTGCTGATTATACTTCCATCTCTCAGGTATTATATACTGCTGATTATACTTCCATCTCTCAGGTATTATATACTGCTGATTATACTTCCATCTCTCAGGTATTATATACTGCTGATTATACTTCCATCTCTCAGGTATTATATACTGCTGATTATACTTCCGTCTCTCAGGTGTTATATACTGCTGATTATACCTCCATCACTCAGGTGTTATATACTGCTGATTATAATTCCATCACTCAGGTGTTATATACTGCTGATTATACTTCCGTCTCTCAGGTGTTATATACTGCTGATTATAATTCCATCACTCAGGTGTTATATACTGCTGATTATACTTCCGTCTCTCAGGTGTTATATACTGCTGATTATAATTCCATCTCTCAGGTGTTATATACTGCTGATTATACTTCCATCTCTCAAGTGTTATATACTGCTGATTATATATCATATATTTTACTGTGATCGTTGTTTCCTCTTGTCAGTGATAATTTAAAATTCTCATTCTCACTATTACTGTTTTTCTATTATTTACACCTCCTGTGCTTACCATTTTCTTTTCATTACTTTAACTAGCCTGTGTGTAGTATTATCTTATTATCTCTTATTATCAGGATAGTTATTTTGCATTTTAGATGATTCGTTTATTTTTTTACATTTATTTCTTTTCGTTATCACATTACATTTCATGTTGGGTTTGAGAATTTCTCTTGCATTCCAATTTAGAATTTTGTGGGGAAATTCCTGATTATTTTCGTTTTGCTTCTCCATCCTCAAGCCTTTCCTTCTTTTTTTCTGTATTATTATTATTATTATTATTATTATTATTATTATTATTAAAAAGCTAATCCCATAAAAATAAACTAGTAATGGTGAATGTTTATCAGCTGACATCATCTCCGTTACTTACACTTGTATGTTTGATTCTAATTAAGTGTTGTTTAATGAATATCTTATTGGGTATAAAGCCTATCTGCTACTCGAGGGTAATTAAAGCTAAATGTTACAGGTTCATCAGTCAAAAATATTTTAATCCCTAGACTAGGAATTAAAGTAATGTTTCAGAGCAGAGACACTTAAGAACAAATGCCGCTTTCATCTTTTTTTTTTTTAATTTGCCATTTTAATCGGCATGTTTTAAATCCTTATCTTTCTCTTTCCATCAATTTTTGTCGCATCATTTTCCGCCGTTTTCGCTCTTTCTACCATCTTATCTTCCCTCTCGATTCTTTCTGTCTTTTCATCTTCTCTGCTTTCTCACCTCTTGCACCATTCTTTCTGCTCCTCGTGTCCCTTGCCTCTTTCTACATTTTTGCTGTTCTTTGTTGCCTCTCCTCCTTCCTGTCTGCTCTTCTTCCTCACTTCGTCTCTCACTTCTTACTGCCACAACACGATCTCTTCTCCTCCATGGCGCAAACTTTTAGCGCTGAAGCCTGGACCTCCACATCTTCCGTGGTCATCATCTGTCTGTGGAAGAGGAACAAGTGTATAAGACACCAGCAAGTGTATGAGACACTTCAACAAGTGTATGAGAGACACGAGGGATAACTTCGAATATGAGAGCATTGGAATATATTAGAATATACCAGGTGTAGGCCATTTAAATCAGTTCGAACTAGAATGATGTGAAATGAGTTGTAGAGGTGTGGGAGTGAGTTGGTTATATGTGGGAGCGAATTGAAGTGTGGGGTGTTAGTTGGAGGGATGTGGAAATAATTTTTTCTAGGGTTCAAGGGTTGGTTGGGTATGGGTGTGAGTTGCAGGGCTGTGGGAGTGAGTTAGATGGGAGCGAGAGTGAGCTACTCACCTGGCCAGTTGAACTAGGGCTTCCATGACGCCAGTGCCACTCTTGCTAGAGGTTTCTACAAAGGAGGCACCGCAGTCCCTGGCAAGGCGCTCTCCGTCCGCGCTGCTGACCGTACTTCTTCCTTCTGCAGCGGCACTCACCCGCAGGTCAGCCTTGTTCCCGCAGAGCACCACTGGCACCCGAGAATGACACGCCTCCTGTAGCATGTATGAAAGATGGTCAGAGTGATAGAGAGGATGAGAGAGAGGGTGAATACATTCATAAGTATGCACCCCCCCCCTCCAACACACACACAAGCTCATGGAGCAAGGAGAGTGACCTAGTAGCGACCAGTGAAGAGGCCGGGCCAAGAGCTGTTACTCGACCCCTGCAGCCACAATTAGGTGAGTACACACAAAAGTCAAGAGTCACTTACGTCAATACTCTGGATCCACTGACGAACGTTAAGAAAAGAACGTTCGCTGGTGACGTCGAAGAGCAGCAAGACTCCGTCTGCTCGACGAAAGTACGTCTTAGTGATGGAGCGAAAACGTTCCTGACCTGCGAACAGTCACAACGATATTAAGGCTTTTGTTTGTTTGAGAGAAAGAGAGAGAGGGAAGAGAAGAACAATATATGAGCAATAACACACACACAAAACAACCGCAACTCACCAGCTGTATCCCAGAGCTGTATAGCGATGTTCTTCTCGTCCACATTAAGGGTTTTCACCTTGTAGTCAACACCTGGAAAAGGTAATCAAGTTATTACAGCAGCACCTGGGGAAAGTAATCAAGCAATTATTGCCGACTGTCAGGGCAGTGTTGCCTGACAGTCTACCATATAGCGAGTCAATGGGTGTGCAGCAGTTAGTTTTTTGTACTCTATTTCTAACTATCCTCTTTGTAGCAGAGCACCTACGAAGAGAAAAGACTGTCCATTGGAGTTTGGTCAGGTCAGTGTTGTTAGGTTGTAGTTGAAGAGGACTTTCTTCAGATTAAGCCCCAGAGGGCTACTAACCCAGGGTAATATAAGAAAGTCAGGCAGTGATATATATCTATTGGGGTCTATGGGTCCTCCTCCCCAGGGTGCGACCCACTACAGTCGACTAATTTGGAAGTAGCTGTGTCCTGCTCGATAAACAGAAACAGGAAGTGTACGTTGATGGATCAAGGCCACCCCTGAGCGAAACGAAGTGCTCATAAAAGTTTGTTCAGCATACTGTGACTTTATTCCGATAGCTGTCAATGCCAGTAGTACTTAGGTACTTGCAACTGTAAGGAGAATTGCTAGAAAGTCTCCATTCGCCAGGGACTGATCCCGAGTTAACTCGGCTGTAAGCTAAATGTGCCATAAAGTCATTTCTATAATCACATCTGAATGAGTAAAGTATTTGTCTCATCCGCCTTGCAGAACTCTGTCAGCAATCTGTCTGTCGTGTTGACAGGTTTCTGCTCCTCCCTCATGGACTGTCTTGTGAGAGGACTTATTGTCTACAGGCATATTTCTTAGCAACTTACCGAGGGTCGAGGCAATATTAGTGACGAAGCAGCCCCTGCATAGTCGAACGATGAAAGTGGACTTGCCCACAGCCGCGTCTCCTGCAAAAACCACTTTATAGGTCCTCTCGGGTGGTCCCAGTGGGTCGTGGCTCGCGGTCTGGACCCCTGCCTGAGCCTGGTGCTGGGGGCTGGGGGAGGGAGACACTATTTTAAACTAAGAAAGTGTCGATGTTTAATCAACTTGTACAATATATTTCCAAGTAGAATAAATCATGTTAAGGTTTTAACATTTATTAAAGAAAAAAAAGAGCGAGATGTTGAAGTAGCGAACATTGGCATTTATAGTTTGTTTTTTTAAGCGCTAAATGATTCCTACAGATTTAGCGCTTCCCTACGACTATATTAAACTTCTATGATTTCCACCAATAAACAGCATAATTATGGTACACACTCACTTTAATTAAAACAAGTACTGAAAAATAAGAATCGAGAAACAAGTATTGAAAAATAATGATCATTAGTAACTAGATTTTGGATTGATAAAGAAAGGAAGGAGGACAAATGGGGGGATGAAAGAACAGAAAAGCTGAAATACAAGGAACAAGCGATGACGAGAAGATTATTATTATAATCAAGGGGGAAGCGCTAAACCCGGAGGATTATACAGCGCCTGGGGGGGGGATGTGGAAGGCATTCAGGCTTAATTCGGGGAACTGGAGCACAGATCCAATTCCCTAAATCAAGAGCCCCTCACCAACATCAAGGAACCTTCCTTGAGGGGATGACGAGAAGAGATTACAAAACAATGAAGATAAGATATCACCATGGCAACAAGTTGTCACCATGACAAGACATCACCATGGCAACAAGCTGTCACTATGACAAGACATCACCATGGCAACAGTATATCACCATGGCAACGAAACTGTTTTCCATTCCGATTAAACAGGTTTCGACGATGCTCAACTGACAACTTTAATCTCAGTTTATCAAAGAATAAGAGAAAAGCAATCTGACTGTTGGAACAAGATGTGATCAATGTTGCCAGATAATAACGATGAGAAACGCCGAGGAGTAATGACTATAAAAAACGATCACAAAGAACGACCAAGAATGACCACAAAGAACGACCACGAACAACGACAACGAAGAACGACATGGAAGAATTACCACGAAGAACGACAATGGATAATGACCATGAAGAATGAACGCCAGTGATGAACAAGAGAGAGAGAGAAATCGAGGCCAGTGGCTTCTACCACCGTCAGACTATCACCCACCTAGCTCCGTGTCTGTGAGTGTTGAGGGCTGTGAGGTGTGCCGCCCCTCGAGGCCTGAGTGGAGGTGTGCTGATCTCCAAGGTAGGTGGCGGCGTGGGCGTTACCGTTGGCGTGCTGGCCACATCACTTGGCCTCAGGGTCATCTCCTGCACCACCTCCTGTGTCGCTGGCAGTAGCGAGCCAGACTCAACACTCAACAGCTCCTCCTCCAGCTGGTGGAAGTGAACGGGTGTGGTCAGTGTTTCAGGACTCACGAGGCATACATGCACTAGACACGAAGAACATTTTGTTCGGGTTAATAGTCGGGGATAACTTAATAAAAATAAAAAGTCGTGTCATTAGTCTGATTCATTTCTTATGGGCCCTTTTCTAGCAATAAAAAGTTCTAAACTCAATTTAAAACACTAGGCACTATGGACGGGTGAACACCTTTCTAGCCAGAGCCATGAGAAAACTGGCTGAAGGAATAACAAGGCACAATACCGTAATTGGGACAATACGCAAATAACCCGCACACAGGAGAATGAAACTTGAGACGACATTTCAGTCCTACTTGGATCATTAAGCAGTCACATCCTCAGTGCCTGAGAGGATCTAACCAAGCAGGCAGCTCCTAAAGATAGTACCACCTGCAAAGGAGGTGGGGGGTTCACTTTCTGGAGTTACTGACAGGTACCACACACTGACAGTGTCAACCACTGGCGTAACTTACCGACAATGGACCTTCATTCTCTGACAGCTTCAGTTCGTCCTGAGTGTTGCATCCTTCCTCAGTCATGTCTGGTAGCGTAGACACTCCGGAATCTGTAATAAACACCATGGAAACTTGTTTTTAACATTATCATCAAAAAATAGCCTGTTTCCCTGAAGGTATTCAAAGAAACCGGTTAGCCGGACTTGAGTCCTGGAGGTGAGAAGTACGGTGCTTGCATAATTATCATTAGACGTTTGTTTTATGTGAACATGTGTTCTTCAAAAACTATATGCTAAAACAGGGCAAGTAACCTACATCGAGGCCTCATTTTCCCTTTAGAACAATATTAAGAATATTTATTTTCTCGGAAACAGGAATTAGCCATCATAAATCTAAATGTATATTCAGTTAAAGTAGAGGTGATAGTTTAGCTTCATTTGCCAGGATAATATCCCATAACTGATTTGTGTTTTTGTCAATTGACGATTTTAATGAATAAATGCTGGAGTATCCATCCTGGTTTACCTGATTCAGTAAATATCTGCTTACTAAAGCAAAGTTTTCCTCCTAATTAACGTCATAGGTTCACTACATAGTGTCCTAGGTTGGCTGGTATATATATATATATATATTATATATATATATAATTATATATATATATATATATATATAATATATATAATATATAATGTCGTGCCGAATAGGCAGAACTTGCGATCTTGGCTTAAATATCAACGCTCATCTTGCCATATAGGACAAATGAAAATTTGTGTATGGAATAATTTCGTCAAAATCATTCTGAACTTAACGAAAAAAATATATTTCACTGTGTTTGTTTAGTATTAAATTATTGTAAACAAATCTAAAATATATTTAGTTGGGTTAGGCTAAAATAAATTGCTCTTGTTATAATAAGGTTAGATAAGTTTTCGAAGATTCTTTTGGTGCAAAATTAAAAATTTTTACATTAACATTAATGAAAAAAATATATCTTTAAATGTATAAGAGAAAATTTTCGAAAGGACTTAATTTTAAATGAGTTCTTTCTAATTAACCAGTTTTACATATTCGGCACGACATATGTATAAATATATATATAATATATATTATATATATATATAATATATATATATATATATATAATATATTATATATATAAATATATATATATATACACGGGAGGTACCACCTCTAGAACTTTACAGGGGACCCTCATCCTCAGAGAAGACGAACGTACATCGGGGAAAACTCAAGGTTCTCCCCGGAGCTGTTTGAATATTTTCATCTCTTTCCACCCCCTATATATAATATAACATGATATTTTTATTAGACAGAATACATTGACAGAAAACACAAACATGAATACATTGGTACAATGTATCAAAGGTTATGAATCTCCTCCGGCTCCTACGAAGCCGGACGCGAGCCCAGTATGCAGCATGCATTTTCCCTCTGAATGGCCACGCTGAGGCGCTGGAACATGAAAGTGGCTAGTGGCTGCCCTTGGGTCCCTGGTGGTGTCGAGGAGTCTGGAACCCAGTTGTTTAAGGAAACGTGTGGCATTTTTTTCCCATGATCCCAAGGTCTGTGATCCCACTCCCCTCAAGGAAGGTTCCTTGATGTTGGTGAGGGGCTCTTGATTTAGGGAATTGGATCTGTGCTCCAGTTCCCCAAATTAAGCCTGAATGCCTTCCACATCCCCCCCCCCCAGGCGCTGTATAATCCTCCGGGTTTAGCGCTTCCCCCTTGATTGTAATAATAATAATAAATGTGATCCCACTGGGATAAATTGATACTGTTGGCTTATGTCCCTGTACTTGCTGATCTTGTACTCCTCCCTGTGGTCAGCAGCTCCTCCCTGTAGCCCGACACTGTGATGGATATAGGTGTCCGCCAGTGTGGACACACAGGTATAGTCCCATGCTAAGAGCTTGCCATTCTTCCAAGGGTAGATGGTGATCCCATCGGGGCAGTTTGCTGGGTTGTGGGTATTGTGGGGCTGCCTCTCGGCTGGGCATCCAGCTGTAGCAAGGGTTCTCTTTATGATGTCGTTGACCTTATTGTGTCTTGCATGCCAGCCCTTGGTTTTGGAACAGTTAAGACTATATAGACCATATTGGTCAGTTTGCGCATCGCAACAAATGCATGTATATTCCGTGTGAATTGGGGCGTTTCCATTGCCGATATGGGAACTGTTTGGAGGAAGTCCCCGGAGTGAGGTGCACTCACAGCTTGGAGACGGGCAGTTTCCCTGTCTGATGTTACAACCTTGAGCATGTTGGCAAGCACCTTTTCAGCGATGGGGCCATCCCAGCTTGACTGTAAGCCAGAGCTGCACCAGAGTTTGGTGATGGAGCAGCAAGAGTCTCCCATTCAGTGATGGCACTGGCACAGTTAGGGTCCTCTATTCCTGCTGAGTCAATGAGGTTGTCAGGAAGAATTTGTCTTATTAACTCGTCGATGCTATAATATATAATATATATATACATACATATATATATATACATATATATATTATATATATATATATATATATATATATATAATATATATATATATAATATATGTACATATACTGAGAGACTTCTCTTTCTGTCGATGTGTAGAAGCTATTGGATATCCTAAGACTTAATTTTATATATATTAAGGCTTAAAAACATTATGACATTAATAAACAGATGAAGTTTTTCCATCTGTTTTAGTCGTGAACAAAGGTGATGTAATATAAAATATTGTACTTAGAACTGAAAAACTGCAATAACCATGATGCACGTCTACCTTCCACCAACACTAATTATTAAGAAATATTATACTAATTAATGACAGTTCATTTAAACTTTGTGTTCCATAGGCTGTCTCTCACCAAATTTTCATTTTTTTTTCATCTTCCTGATCATTAGAATGGAAAGCTAAAACTTACCGAGGTCGTCCATGAGTCGTCTGATGCCATACTTGAGGGTGCCATCACCTTCGAAGGGTGAGAGCACAGATGGGAGGGGAGACCGAGAACGACTGCAAGAAAACCATGTTTTCTATCATTGTATTAATGAATAGTTAATTTATCTTAAGAAAAATTAAAGTAAGCTGGTGTTAATGCTGCCACTGTAAAAAAAAATGATGCTTCAAGCAAAATTAATCGTATTAGATTCAAACAAAATTACCCTAGGTTAAATTCTACATAATATATATAAAACAAGCGTGTAAGTTGCAAATTATGTTTTATTCAACACCGGCCATCTTCCACAGAGTCAATGTGACCCGAAAAGAAAGAGGAAACACTTTGACCGTCACTCTTTCAATCACTATCTTGCCAGAAGTGAGCAGACATTACAGTACAGATAACCCTCTGAACTGCATCATCTCCACACCACTTTCAGAGTCCAGGTACCGTGTTTCAGCCTATATACAAGGCTTTAATAAAAACTTATTTATCTCTTACATGCATATTACATAAGCATCTGTCTGGATGTTCATATGAACATATAAATACATGACTCCTTGTGAGAGGACCGACTAGCACAGAAGTTTCCAAAACTAAAAATTCTAGACATGTGAGAGGACCGACTAGCACAGAAGTTTCCAAAACTAAAAATTCTAGACATTTTTATAAGGAAGGAAAAAAATAGTGAGGAAGCTACATAACAACAAGAACCCATCAACTGTGAGCTGAGGAAATCATTAGCTACAACAAATAGCATATACTCGGTATTACAACGTAACTCACATAATTGTTTTATTCAGATAAAAAGTTGAGCTTCCATTCACTGCTTACTCGAAGCAACCGAATGAATCAATTATTATCCACGATATTATGTGTTAATATCATAGGGTACTGAGAGTGAGTTATGTGTGGATCAGGAACAGGCATGAATAAACAAGAAAATTAGGCACAATACTGTGGCTGGGACAAGTCACACAAAACACACACACTAGGATAAAGCACCTAATAGGACGTTTCAGTCCGCCCTGAAACATTGTGAAGGAACCTTATGACGACGTTTCGGGCGGGTTTAGTGCTCCCCCATGATTATGATAATAAATAATCCTATGTGTGGGAATTTTTTTATTGTTCTGGTCAAGGTATGTATTGTGCCTGTTTATCCGTTAATGTGAAGTAAGATGGTTTTAATGTGGTAATTGTCCGAGACAGACCGAAACGTTGCGTCTAATGTTTCCCATGTGCGGGTTATAGATGAAGAGTGATGAACATGGAGGACACAGACTTGTCTGCTCACCTTGAGACCGGGGAGGAGACTGAAGAGACAGACCTGTGGAGGCGAGACTCTGTACACACGCTGAACTATGGTATTGTCGTGAAGGGAGTTTCACATTACTCCCCTCACCCCACGTTCTCCTCACACCCCGTCCCCTCGTGTTTCACATTACTCCCCTCACCCCACGTTCTCACACCACGTCCCCTCGTGTTTCACATTACTCCCCTCACCCCACGTTCTCCTCACACCCCGTTCCCTCGTTTTCACATTTCTCCCCCCCCCCCACTTTCCCTCCCCCCCCC